GATTACATTGGTGGACGTGCAGGTGAATGAACCGGTGATGGCGTGGCTGATCTGGTTAGGTCTTGTGAGGGTGTCGCCGCACCCTGATCCCCAATTTCGTGAGCATTCATGGCCTGCCACACAATTTCCATACCCATATGTGGCCCTCAGGCCAAAAAGTTTGCCCACCCCTGGGTTAGACAAACACCTGTCAGGAATGGTCTATACTTGGCCCTGCTTCCGTGCAAGGGGGTGGACTAGATGATCTCTCTAGGTCCCTTCTAGCCCTACACTTCTATGATTTCCAGATCATGGTTTCTATTCAGATATCAACTACTGAACTGAGGGAGGTATCCTGAATCTGGACAGAATTTGCCAATTCTTTGGAAATAGTAGAAATAGCTACTTTTGGGAGTAAGGGTTACAGGAAAATACCTGAGGCCATGCCATCATGTTAGATCAGGAAATTCAAGAGAAGGTTAAATCCTATCTGATCTCTGATTGAGAGGATCCAAATGGTGTTAAATGTGCAGCAGTAATTTGAGGTCTGATTTAGAAAATACAAAATGTTTTCTTATTCTTTCATGTACCTCAATGTAGTAAGCCATTTTGCTCAACAGACATACAGCTTGAACTCCCTCTTTGTCAGGGGAGAACTGTAATTGTTAGGTTAAATTCCACAGCTTGCATGTCTTTCTTATCAAAACATGGGTGATTTCTTTTTAATTTTAAAATGGAATATTGGAGAGTGGGAAATAAAAGTAACTATCAAGTCACAGATTATTGGTTACAGCCTAAGTAATTTGTTCTTTTGGTACTACACCTGAAGGAGTTAATGCTGGGAAAAAAATTATTTCTCTCTTCTTAAATACCTTCTCATATTGTAGTTATACATTATTCAAATGAGTAAACAACACAAATTCATTAAATGGATTATTGGGGAAAGCTCAGAAATAAAGTGCTTAGCTAATTAAAAAAGCATTAGTCTATTGAGTTTCACACAATACACGGCAGATGAGATTTTCAAAGGAGCTTAAGAGATTTAGATACCTCTCACAAAATTGGGCAACTAACTCCCATATGCTTCTTTGAAAATCCTGGCCGATCTGCATGAAGAATAGCTCATTCTCAAACTTCTTATGGCAGCAGCTTGCTAGTGTGTTCCCTACTACCAATACTTCAATCTACATTGAAGTCCAATGTCAAGATGATTACTTGAGAAGTGGCTCTGTGGCTTAACAGACAACATGTTCCATCAGCGAGCAGATCGATGGGCTACTGACAAAAAGAGGAAATTTTAATGAGTAAAGATACTTACAATTCAGAAGTGGTTGCATACAGGAAATATCAGATAAAAGGAAACTGCTTTTTGGCGGCACCAGGTACTTCTGTCCCATTAAATTTATTATCTTTGCATAGTCTGTATTGTTCTCTGTAACGCATGAAAGCAGATCCTGCTCTGGAATGGATGTTTCCTCATCTATAATTTGTGCAGATCGATGGTCATTTTCATTCACAGAAGGAAAATGTTTTGCCATTTCACATAATTCAGCCATCCCACAGCCAACATGTCCTGTAATAACATTCTTGACGCTACTTTGTTTTGCAGAAATGGGGTGAAGAAAACCACTTCTGAGTCCTTCTTTGATTAAACACCTGGTGCCTTCCAATATCAGACCCCTGATCTGTACAGTAATAAGACATACAAAGGAGAGGGAAAGGATCTTTGAAATGTCTGGTTGAGATCTCTGGAGAATTAAACAGAAATTTCATACATATTTGCTACATTGCGAATCTGCAGGTTATCATCAGGACTCGTATAGAGACAAACAAATTTACAATCAGGAAAACTGAGGATGTCAGTATCCAGGAATTTTAATATGGTATCTTTCCAGAACCTTAAACTCACTTTAAAAACAACATATTTTATGCATTAAACTAAGAATGATAAAAAAATTAGTGAGTCAAATTATTATAACTTGTTTTTAGTGACCATCTAAATGACACCCTCTTAGGCCCTGATCCTGGAAGTCTTTCATGCAGGCAGTTCCTTGAACATGCACAGAATCCCAGGGACTTTAATTGAGAATCTGGTTATGCACATCTCATCAACGATTCCGAGCCTAAATTACTCCCTACATCCATCATCATCATGACCTCACTATTTTCAATTATAAACCAAAGAATACTGTCCATTTATCAGTGTCGCCAACTATCATGAATCTTACAATATTTATTATTGTTTTTAAAGCTCCAGCTCCTGGAACCATGAGATTATGTGGGAATCTTAAATTTTTTTTAAAGTAAATTTCTAGTCTTTATGGTTACAATGAACTTTTACAGGATCAAACATGAGAAGGCAAATAACAAGAACACCACATTTATTATTTTTAAAATCTCATGAGTAAGTCAATCTCAATATTTTTGAATGCCTGGGGTTGGCAATATTGGAATATAATTATAGCCTTCATGGTCTTAACATACACACATTCAGGAATACCAATGAATGTACCAGGGGTTCCTATAAAAAAAAAAATTTAAAAATGTAGGAACAGAGAAACTGCAACAGCTATGAATAAATGCTAAAACAATTTGTACTGACTTCTCATCCCATGGAGAGGAACAACCTGGGGAAGTTAGCTTTTACTGTTATAAATGCAAAGCTTAATTTTCTAATGGTTTAAAAGGAGGTTAGCAGAGATTACAAGTGTTTCATTAATAGCTACTGTTTGTTTACACCTTCATTAAAAAAACCCAAAGTTGTGCACATAACTAATACAGGCAACCAAGAGATTTTATCACTTGTCCATCTTTCTCAATCCCTCGTGCATTGTTTTTATTTAACCCCAATCTTGCAAAGTGCTAAACATACATTTAACTTCACAAACAGTGATCTCATTGAATTCAGTTCATGAAGTAGGTGCACAAGTCTTTTCAGAATCAGGATCTTAAACTGTAAGCAATTTGGAGCAATGCATTTGTATAGCACCCAGCATACTGAACCCCTAATCTGACTGAGACCCCTAGATCCTATTATATTATAAATAATAAAGATAACCAAAGTTTAAAGCATTCTGAGATCTGTAAATAGGAGATGTCACCTGTATAAACAGATCACAATGTTTGGTTGGAGTATACAATGGGAATCCTATAAAAATATTGTGATGTAATATAGAGATTATATATCTTAATATTTTAAAATACAATTTCAAGGGAAAAATAAAAATTAATACAGTGATTACCACCACTATCAGGAGAAACGAATGCAAACACACCTCTCAATTGAGGAAAGCATTACTATTCAGGAAACACATAAGCATGTGCATAAGTGCATTCCTGCATTGATGCCTTAAAAATCTATTGCTTTTTGCATCCGGTTTATTTTTTAATTATGTCATATGAAAGGGCCAATGTTTAACCATAGGATCAGTGTATACTTGCTACAAATGTAATCTAAAAAATATATTTCTAGCAATGTGATCATGTATAAAAAATATGAATCCATCTGGCACCAAATGTCTTCTCTCCCATCCTGTTGCCAATATAAAGTTATTCTCCCCATCAAAACTGTGTTTGATAATTCTTTCAATATATTTTATCTACTTTTAAAACTACACAAACTAATCTTTTACAACTCTGATTTTTGTTTGTTAGTAATAAATTATTTTGCAGTCTATAAGTGATATAGATCTTGTTTGAATCAAAAAGAACTGAGGAAACTTACATTTATATAACATTTTTCTTGCTTTTTACAGTCAACAAATTTTTACATGAATTAGATTCAGTGTTGGCTAGAACATAAACAATCACTTTACTGTGCATTTCTACTCTTATAAATGAAATGTCAAGACTAAGTTCCTACTCAAAAAAGGAAATTAAACTCTCTCACACATCCTCCCAAGCCAACTCACCTTGGAAGAAGAGCAGCACAATTTTTTTTTAAAAAAAAAGCCACATTTCAGTAACTTCACATTTCAACAATAATAATTTTCCATGTACATGACTGACATGTTTAAATGCTCAAATCATTTTACAAATGTTAAAAAAATTACATATAAACTATAAAGTTTCAAAAAGTAGAGCAAGAAAAATTTTGGAAATATCATGGGCAAATCCTCAGGTGGCAGAAATCAAAAGTCAGGAAGGTAGAAATCTGAGAGTACCAGATTAAAGACAACTGTAAGCAGAACAGAGATCAGAGACAAAAGTCAATGGAGCAATGATGATTTAAACCAGCGGCATGTTACTTGACATGATGGAAAAAAACTGCTATCAAGTAAAGCAGTGGAGGAATCAATTATCCCAACTTTGTAGTTTTGTGATATGAACAAATATGTACTAGAATAAGAACATTAAATTCTATTAATTAAAACATGCACAGAATTCACCAGAAGGGAAAGGCTAGCATTGTAAGCCACTCTACCAGTGAGCAACCAAAAAGGTGCCAGAGGAAGAGTTTCGAAATGAATGGGGATTTGGTCACTGAGCGATTATGAAGTTCTGAAACGGTTTGTCCTTTCTCCAAGCTACACTAAGGGTATGTCTATACCCAGCCGCTAGTTCGGCGGCTGGCAATCAAACTTCTGGGTTCGACTTATCGTGTCTTGTCTGGACGCGATAAGTCGAACCCGGAAGTGCTCGCCGTCGACTGCGGTACTCCAGCTCGGCGAGAGGAGTACCGCGGAGTCGACGGGGGAGCCTGCCTGCCGCGTGTGGACCGAGGTAAGATTGAACTAAGGTACTTCGAACTTCAGCTACGTTATTCACGTAGCTGAAGTTGCGTACCTTAGTTCGATTTGGGGGGTTAGTGTAGACCAAGCCTAATTCTCCATTTCTACCACTGTTACTCCAGAAAGGACTAAAAGGAAGAAAATAAAATTTAAAATTTTACCATCAACAAACTAGTCACCATAAAAATAAAAATTCCTATTATTCGCATCCCATCATGCTTCCATGCCAACCCTAATTAGTCATTTTTACATAACTCGTCTGTTACAAATAAACTGTATAGCAGACTAATTTGATCTTGTCTAAGACTTTCTTGCTACATTATATGACACATTTTCCAAACAAATTGATAAATAAAAGTGTTCAGAAAGGCTCATTTGTCCAGAGATTCAATTTTTAGATTCCATCAGTATGTCTCAGCTGGTAGTGATCATACCTCCAAAGGTCATGGCTTCAAACCCACATCAAGACATGGGCTCTTACTCATTCCTAACACTTTAATGTAGCAAACAGGATACTATATAAGAGGTTAAAGAACGGGTAATTCTGCCCCCCCTCCAGTGGATGTGACACAGCAGAGCATCTTTATAAAAGAACTGGGGAATAATCTCAGTTCGGCATCCAATATACACATCATTAGAACTGTTTATACTGCCAAGGCTCAAAACCAGCATCTGTACCATTTTCTTGCAGACATTGCCTAGCTAGCTAACTCGATGCTTACTCAAGGATGTTCAGCTACCTAGAATATTAAAGGTATTATGTGAAATCAGTTTCTAGCTCTTTGAAATTTCTCAGCTGCAGTTTAATTTTTATACAAAAAACACACACACACTTAAAATAGTCCCAGTATTGAGTCCTCCACTTGGGGACTGGGGAAACCAAATATTGCTCTAGCTGTAATGAACTGAAATTACAAGACTCATGCTCCATATATTTTGGAATAGTTTCAGAGAGTTTATATTCATAAATTACCTACAGATACATACTGTACACTTGTCATTGTTACATACTATTGCTCAGGCTTACCTTTGTATGGTATTCTAAAGCATCCAGTTCACCTTGGTTGAACACACTACACTTTCTTTTACGTTTCTGCAGTGAACAAAATATGGGGGGGAAAAAAATATCAGCTGTGTTACTACATGGCAAAAATATGCTAGAGAAACATATACGTGCCTTCAGAGCTTGTAACAATTTGCCATACCCTTTTTATGAACTTAAGTCTTTTGTCATAGTCAGCTTCTGATGGTGCCACAGTCATTTTAAAATACCATATATACTCGATCATAAGCCGGTTAGTTTATAAGCTGACCCCCCCAAGATGGATAAGTAAAAATTGAAAATTTTTATAACCCGTTCATCAGCTGACCCTATAATTCAGGGGTCAGCAAACTTTGGCTCCCGGGCCATCAGGATAAGCTGCTGGTGGGCCAAGATGGTTTGTTTACCTCGAGTGTCTGCAAGCACGGAGGTAAACCTAAGTAAACAAAGTGTCCCGGTGCACCAGCTGCTTACCCAGACGGGCCGGGACAGCAACTGGTAGAGAATTGGGGGGGGGGCGGAGAAGCTGGAAGTCAGGGGAGTAACCCCTGTGACCATCCCCCACATGACCCCACCCCTAGCTCGGGACCCCCACACTCTCCTCATCCCATCACTTCCCACCTTATCTGGGGAGGAGGTCTCTGGCCTGGCTGAAGCTGCTCCCTGCGGCCGCAGCCTGCTCTGGAGGGCCAGACTGGGCGGTGCGGCTGCAGTATGTTCCAGCGGGCTGGGCGGCACGACCGCAGCAAGCTCTGGCGGGCCAGGCAGTGCAGCCACAGCCTGCTCTGGGGGGCGGGGCAGCTGCTTCAGAAGCTGGGGGGAGAGCAGCGTGGCAAGAAGCAGAGACACTGGCCCCGCCTCTTCCCTTCTGGCTGTGCTGCCTCTCCTTGCTTCCTCTGTTGGGGGGACGGGCTGTGTCCCACCTCTCCCTCTCTATACCCGTTCATAAGCCGACCCCCTTCTCTGGTGCTTCCCTTTTGTACTAAAAAAATTCGGCTTATGAACAAGTATATACGGAAATCTGTGCTGTAAGAGCCTGTATCAGCCTGTTTGCCAGTGCTATTCAATGATATGCCACTTCACAGCTCACATTAACGCTAATCTTCACTGCTTAGTTTTTCTGTCTCCAGATGAAAATGCTATGAAATCTTTGGTTGCCAAGCCCAGGCTATTGCCAACAAGAAAGTGTCACCTAACTCCAGAAAGATACAGCCCATACATTGATTTAGCCCATACATCATATACACAAAATTTAAAGGGAACAGACGCACCTCATATTTCTGTATTTCAATGAACGCTACATGCAACACATCAGCAAAATTGTCATGAAAATTTTCAAGCCCAGGCACAAAATATATTTACCCACCCTTACCATGTTAATTTAAAAAAATAACCCTCAGAACTACTTAATCATCCTTGGCAAATAAATGTTCTTTAAATACAGTCTTGTGAAAAGTGTAAGTATAGTCCTGCAGTAGTAAAACACTATTTGCAACTAAAGTGAAAAAATATATACAAGTTTTTATTTTTTGGGGTCAATAAATAAAGTGCAATAACAATTGACAAAGTCCAGAGATCCATCATTTTCCCCATCTTCATTAAATTTTCAATAATACAACATGAAGAGACTTTAATATATACAGTAGAACCTCAGAGTTACGAACACCTCAGGAATGGAGGTTGGTCGTAACTCTGAAATGTTCGTAACTCTGAACAAAACATTATGGTTGTTCTTTCAAAAGTTTCAAAACTGAGCATTGACTTAATACAGCTTTGAAACTTTACTATGCAGAAAAAAATTCTGCTTTTAACCATCTTAATGTAAATGAAACAGGCACAGAAACAAAACTTTTCCTTTGTTTTTTAGTAGTTTACGTTAAACACAGTAAGGTACTGATTTGCCATTTTATTTTTTTGGTCTCTGCTGCCGCCTGACTGCATACTTCTAGTTCCAAATAAGGTGTGTAGCTGACTGGTCAGTTTGTAACTCTGGTGTTCATAACTCTGAGATTCTACTGTATACATCCTAAACCTATTCAGTTACTCCAATGGACATACTGCATATCCAGGCCCACTCAGAGTGTAACAGATTCAATATAGAATAGCAAACATGCCAACAAATGCTGTAAAAGGTGTAGTAGAGTCAGAAAACTGAGTGTGTAATGAAAGGTGCTTCCTAAACAACATATTTGCATCAAGAGCATTTTCATAGGTATAGCTGTTTCTTTGACTAACAAAGAGTTTTATTACTTTAAAATCAGTAGTGAGTTGCATTCTTTTCAGGCTTACATATAATCAACAAAATTATGAAGTTTCACTTGCAGCTTTGTTATTGATGGTTAGGCGTTAGCCAAAACACAAACAAAACCTCAACAACTTGACTCGCAGATCCGAGACTAAGTTTGTAAAAAATAGTTGTTTAAAAAATAGACACACCAGTTATTTGTAAATTGAGCAAGTTTAACCAAGGAGTCATTCAGAGTCTAACACGGAGTCCAAAGTTATTTTTTACAGAACATCACTACTGTAAGGTTACCTAAGTATCTAAAGTTCCATTACAAATCTTTCTTTTCAGTCTTTCCTTCCTAACATTGCTCTTTTGGGCTGAAATGATTCATGATGGATTTCAGCCAAAGGTACTCTTTTTAAAAAGTTTGAGTAGAAACCACCCAGCCATTTTAGAAATGTTATTTAGAAGAAAAAAATAGAGGATATCAGATATCAACATGGCTCCACTTAAATCAGTGAATTTACACCATCTAAACATCTGGCCACAGATTTATTTTAGAGTGGAGTAATTATTTGGGGGGAGGGGTAAAAATAATTTTAAAATAGCAGAACACAAAAATTCCAACTCTGTATGTGGCTAGTTCTCCCTCAAGAAGTTAGAAAACATTAGAAATCAAAAACAAGCAATTAAAAAGTCATTTCTAAGCTTGCTGGGCAGGCATCCACTAATTTTCAGAGGGACTGAGCAACTCACACTGAAGTCAGCTCAGCACTTCTGAAAATTCAGACCATAAGTGTTTAGCAGATGCATGCTAAACGCTATAGGACAGATGGCTTGAAAATGGGGTCAGGAGCTACAAGGTCCCAACATCATCTTGTTAAGGAGCCGGGTAAATCCTTGTGAGTATCTAGCAAAGGCTTCGGTTTCCACACAATTTTTAAGTGTAGACCTCGTTCACATTTTGAAATTTGCTGTGGATATGCTTCCTCCTTGCCCTCCCCCCCCCCAACAATTTGTGCTTTAAATTATTTCAGGAAGTAGCAAGACAATTTTCAAGAAGTTGTTATGGTAGATGCATAGTTATTTTATTAATGGTCTTTTTTTTTTCTGTAGACCATACCTTCCTAGCACTGCCAATGGAATCCCCATCACTGTTCTTGGCTCCTTCGTGCTGCTCTGTTCCATTGCCACTGTCCTTCCCCTCCCTTGGGCCAGCATCAGAGCTTTCTTGCTCGGGCTTCTGTTGGGGAGCTGAAACTATATGGGGCTTAAAAACATGAAAGAACTCTTCCCGAAACACATATTTTTTCTTTAGTGTTGCCCCTGTTCTCTCTACTGCAGCTCCAGTAGAGTAAGTAGTATCAACGGTGGAAGGAGCAACAATATCCTCTGTAGAAGGGGTGGAAGAAACAGGAGCAACATGAGAAGCCAAGGGAGCAGGGCACTGGCAGGAAGGGCAAAGCTGGTAACTGGCCTTGTTGATGAAGGAAAGATGATCCAGTAGCCACCCAACTGACAGCTGATGCACCACAGACATCACATTCTCTCTTTTTCAAGGACAGTCTCTGAGAAATTGGAATTGAAATTCATACTTGCTTTCCAGTTTAGATTTTTCCTGTAATTAATACAAAAGCAGACTTTATAGAATTATTAAAGTATATTAAAACAATGCCTAAAGTGTGCTAAGCATTTCAAATATAGTCTGTTGCTGAACCCCACCATGCACTGTTAATAACTGCAGAAGCTCCAGTCTTTAAACTCTCTCGCCATAGCACTCTTACTGTATGAAGAAGAACAGGAGTACTTGTGGCACCTTAGAGACTAACAAATTTATTAGAGCATAAGCTTTCGTGGACTGCAGCCACTGAGAAGTGGGCTGCAGTCCACGAAAG